GTTCCTTCGGTGTCTCGCGACCGCCCCTATCGCCCCCCCCCACACACACGTCTTGTCGTAACTGGCTAGGAAAGCACTTTAGCGCTTTTACGCTCCAGGCTATCTGGCCGTTGAGGACATTGAGCCCGAGCGGGAGAAAAATGACAGCGGAAGGGGACATGGAGCAGACAACGGAAAAAGAAAAAGCCGAGCCGCGATGTCGTGGACGCTGGCCGCCAGTGAGAGCGGTGAGGGCTATGGTCGTGCCGGTGTTCGCGTCTACGCCGCAAAAGACTTCATCGAGTTCAGTAGGGCGGTCATGGTGCCGACCTGCCAGCCAACCCACCCTTCCAGGCAGAGAAGCGGCCGACCCTTCAAGTAGCCGGAGGTGTCACATTGTTGGGAACCCTCCAGGCGTTGTTCCGTCGTAGTTTCCGCCCGTCTGTCCGCTTGCCAAATGGGTGACCGGGTGTTTTGCCTGCGCTCCGAGCGAGCAACAAAGTAACTAACAGAGCAAATGACCGACTGGAAGGCCGCACCACCGCGAGGCAGAAAAACGGCGCGGGCTCGTCAACGGCGGGGTTCACTAAGCGTTCGAGCCCGTTATCAAGACCACTTTCGGACTTGGTACGATAGAGGACTCTGACCGCACTCATCTGGAAGAGGTCCCAGTCCAAGACGGCAGCCTGATGTCACCTCATTCTTTTTGCGCTTCTCATCGTCCGTGTAAGCCTGAGAATCGGGTTGTTCAGCGTTCTGTGCCTCCATCGCAGCCGACCCGGACCACCGAATCTGCCGCAACTCCCTGCGCTGTAATTATGAGGCGGAAAAATAATCCGCAGAAAATAGAAAATTGCGGTCAAGTTACAGGGGTTCGGAGCTATTTCAGTTTCGGCCTGCGCTCATGAGGAAGGATTCCCCCGAGATTTTGTGCCGGACCGTCGGCGTCGCGCTGATCACGATCGCAAAATTTGACTGATCGCGGAGGATGATTCATTCCGCAGATGCGTCTCCGGCGGAAAAGTAGAACGCGCTCGATTCCTGGAATTCTCCTCTTTTCGTCCTGACGCCGACGATTTCCAGCCGAGATTCTGTCACGGAGGGAAACCTCCGATCGTCCCTCCCGATATCGGGGACCCCGACGGACTAGGTCGTTTCTGGAAAACGGATTTCTTGTCAAGAATCTCCGTGATTCGAATAAGGAGTCGTCTCTGCGGAAGATGAGCACGCCCGAGTATTGAACGATAGCCGATCTTTCTAGACGACGGGAAGAACTGATTCGATTCTTACTGCCAAACAAACCCCCGCTCGACGATGGAAAAGATGAGCTCAGGACTCGGACCCTCGATTTCGGTCCCTCCCCGAGGAGCTTATCGCGAATGGTGGAATGAACTCCTCTCGTCGGACAAGCATGGAGACTATCAATTCCGAAGCTCCTCTCCATCGTATGATGTGTTCGTCGTGGCCGATCACGCAGCAATAGTTCAAGTCCGAAAAACCCACAGTCAGGAAAACTGTGCGTGAATGGCGAATGGCCACAGTGAATTTATGGCATCGGAGCCGGGGCCGGAACGAGCATGCCGAGGGCCAGGATACTCCAACGTATCCGAATACACAGGAGCCGAATTCCTGACGAGTAAAAAAAAACGTCCGGTACGCCGGTACGGCAAGTACATGTGTCTCTCGACTCGTGATCAAATTCTCAGTCCCCATTGAGGTGGGCGGATGAGGTTTAGGTGGATGCGATTGTCGACCGTTGGAATACGTTCAACCTCCACACACGCGCGATGCTCACCAACCTCCGGAAGTCTTCGGCTCGTTTTTCTACCAGTAGCGTGACTTAGAACATTTTTCGATTCACCAGTTTGTCTAATTGCTGGTCGAGGCGTCCGAGCAGCGGCCAGACAGCTGACCAGACCAACACGCACGTCCACCCGTTTACGGCGAGGAAGTCTGGACGCGAACCCACGAATCTACGCATAGCATGTCGCTTCGGAAGACTTCCATCCCTTCCCACCTAGGCAAATGGTGATCCTGAATTCTTTAATGTACATATGTACCTCTCATTCCTTCGATACAGAGCGTCGCTGGATTCATATCGCAATCGTAATGCTCTAGTTCCGAATAGTGAGTGAGAAGTAAGAGGAACAGTATCCGAGTTACAATAAGGACGCGCAGGTGTGAGGGACGTACCGTTCGCGGTGAGTTTGACGGTCGGCGCGAGAGCGGTGGTGGGCGCCTCGAGAGACGGTTCCGAGCGGGCTGCAAAAAACGTCACGTTCCGCACGGTGCCAGCAAATGACGACGCCTTGTCCGAATCCTCGAGCAGCTGGTGCAGTTGGTGAGCTTCCAACTGAGCAGCAGACAGATGGTTGACAGTTCGAGAAGGAGGTCGATGCAACGCCGGCAGCAGACGATTCCATATTGAAAGTCTATGAGCGTTCCAATGACTGCCTGTCCGTGCTTTTCCATCTGAAAGCAAAGGGATGTTTTCCTCACTAAAACGGATTCACAGAGGCGGTCGAGAGCACCAGGATATCGCTAATGCAAAACCAAAGGCCTGCTATTAGAACGTGAGCCGCGGTCGGAATTCGGGAAAGTCAAGCGGTTCCCCGAAGTCGTCCACGTACGCTGACGGCATGCATCTCTTGTGATTACCGCGAACTTCTGAGAAACGAACGACTTGGCTCTGCGCGGGCGGATCCTGTCGGTCTGAATGCATTTGAACGTGAATGGAACAGGACCCAAGCTCCTGGAGCATCAAGGAGTCACTCAAGTGCAGGATGATATTATGCTGAAGGAGTCTAGATATGTATAAGTCTCCCACAACTTTCAAACACCGCACGGATCTTAAACTGCGGTAATCCGAGCCCGTTGCTTCACGTCGACCCGACAGCTCAGTGGAAACTTGCAGACTCAAACTAATTATTCAAATTCTAAACTTATTTCATCTCACTCAGGCAGTGACGGGGAATCTACTCTGCCCGACTGCTCTTTGATCTTTAAACTCAGTCGCTCCCAGACTGCACAGTAGTAAATAGACTTCCCAGCAAAGGCTGGAAGGTCGTTCAGACGCTGTCGCAGAGGTGTGCGTCAGAAGAACCCGGTTCACCGAATTCCGAGACGATTCAGAGCGAAAATGAGGAATTCCGCGTGAGCACGCGCAGGAGAGCGTGCCGGATGTCGAGGGGAGAAACGGTCACGCCTCTTGGCGAAGCAACATTTCGAGGACTCCCTACAGCGGAGCATTTCGAGGACTCCCCGTTTTCCGCATCAGCCGGGTATACGCGCCACGATTCCCGATTTTCGCGTGCTGATTGTGAGACTCTCGGGAATATCCTGCGAGAAGCTCATGATCGACATATGTAGGTTTCGGATGGATACCGCATTTCGTTCCCGAATGCGAGCAGAGCTCACGCATGGAGCGATCCTTCGACCCCTCGAGCGACTGCTTCGAGCCGCGCTATATCCGGCGGTCGAGTCCGAGGCGGTGACATATAGGTCATCTGAAAATTCTGTTTATGGCGGGGATATCCGAGGTATGGCTCCCCGAATGAAGGACCCCGAAAATCTCATCAAAATAAAATATCCGCGCCTGTATTCGCGCGCAAGTAGATATGAGCGTGTATGTATGGTGTGTATTTCTGACTGAGTGAGCAGTGGATAAGTCACTGTAACGAGCAGTCCGCAAAGAGTTTACGAGGTTGTGAATGTCGGCGCGTGACGGCTTGTAAAGCATGGAACACATCTCCTGGAACGGGGATTGAAAACCAGGAAAATGGCACTTGAGCCCCCCGCAGAGGGACGTCGGAGGTTTTCTCCGGCGAAGACGTCCTCAAACATGTCAATGTTTTATTTTATGGCCTATCATCAATCCCGCTCGCTCAAGACCCGTTCCCGAGTCGCCCTCGAACACACTCCTATCCCATTTGCTTCAGCTAGCTCTCCCGTCGAAAAGAGACGTCCTGTGGGCACAGAATTTCCGGTACTGTCATGAAGACTCCAGGAGTGGTGTCCTCGGGTCGCAGCTCATTCCAGACGCACATTCGACGCAGAGTGAGTCTTCGCCACTCGCCGCCCAGAAGCCATGTTGGAAAGGTTCGAGTCCCACGGGATTCTCGACGCATTCCTTAGAACGGCTCCAGCATAGCGCCGCGTCTAGGGAGTGAGAGAGAAAGAACGACGATCCGCGAAACCACGGAATCAAAGTACGGCGTTTGGCCGTAAACGGCAAGCGCTGACGCATTATCATACTGTCTCGCGCCCTCAACCCTCAGACTGGAAAAAAGTTTTAGAATTTCCAACGACTCGCTAGGGCAGCGACCGAGACAGCGTCGAGAGCAGACTCCGGAAGAAGAACGCCAGTAGTTTTGCTCTCAGAAACCTCAGATCAACGGAACATGTCGTCTCCGGGGAAACAACGGGAGTAAGTAGTTGTTGCACAAGAGTTCCGCCTCGCGAATTTCAAGGGGGTCCAAACCTCAAAACGCTCCTAGCGGCCGGAGCTCTAGATTCCCACAAGCAACGGCTTGCTGATTCCAGATGCTCTTTTCAGATCGGAGTGTTCGCCGCGAATGATGGAAACATTGCGGCCCTTCTGGTTCAGAGGTCAAGTTCTGATTTACCTGTCAACATGAGGTGCATTTTGTGAATCGGCTCAAAAAGCGGCCAGGCAACGGTCTCTTCTTTGTCTTTCGATCTCGTCGGGTGATGTGAGTTCGGAGGTCGAGGAGGACCGTTGGGATTCCTGGAAACAGCATGATACTCCTTTGAATGAAAAATTATCCGTCCACTATCGGAGACTTCCCTCCAGAACAAACATCCCAGGCCATCAGTTTAGTCTGACTCCTAGAGCAAACGCCTTGAGCTGAAATCTCTCCTCTTCCCCTGTCTATTTCTTACCCATCACGGAGGTAGTTTTTCAAGCAGAGGATTAGCGTCTGAGAGGTCTGGACGTCCTGTCGCGAAAACTCCGGGTACAGCACACTGTAAGGATGGAAGCACTTAGGTGCTAGTGCCTTCCACTATGATATTACGCATCGTGTTGAAGCGCATCGAATTGATATCTCGTCCTGATCTGTGCTCGCTCAAACGGCGATATGGGTGAGAGGGTTCCTCCGTGCGATTAGATCCGTTAAGGAGGCGGCGGGGAAAGCATGGTAGCTGACTACTTCCTACCAAGTTCGACAGACAATGAGACGTGGTGTCAAATCAGCCAGCAAAAGAGCGACCGCGAGGAGTGTACGACGACGGGGGGAAAAAAATCTTTCAAGTTAAGCTGATCACAGAGGAAATTCGGCTCTGCGAGCGTGATCAGCAGATTGAGATGGTCGATCACGAGGGCGTCCTCACTCGACTCCCTCTGTGCGATCCACTATCAACTAGGCTCGATTCTTTCCGCTCTAAAGCGCTATCCTTTGTTCTAAGTTCTTCTACCGAACGGGGTGGTGAGGGAAGAATTCTCTATACTGGTAGGTATTGCGCGCTGGGAGCCATGTATGAAAAGATATTCCGAATTCCAGAAAACTTCCAAACTTTTAAACAAAAGGTCCACTTCGTTCCCACCGTTCGCGTGGGATGCCACTCTTGCGAGCCTCTAGTGGCACTTACGGTGGCGCCGCCTCCCGCGCCAGCTGGAGCCACAAAAGCGGAAGAACTGTTAACTGGATTTGCTGACCTTCTGACGGACGAACCTTTGAGACGAACGAAGGGGTACACCGAGCAGCTGGAGGAGGTCCTTAGGGATAACCTCGGGATAACCATCGCAGTTGGGAGCTTCTCGATGGCCATTCGAAGCCGACGGACACTCGGGCTGAGAGAGGACGAGCAAGTGCGTCGAAACTCCTGACCGACTGAAAGGTAAGGAAAAGAGAAAGGTCTCTATTTGCTTCGACACGGAAAAAATGCGGTCTCGAACTCCGGCTGTGGGGCCGTCTCGAACTCCGGCTCGGTCCCGGCACTCCCGAGGCCTCCGACACTCGACGGACAGATTTTCCTGCCGGATTCGTCGATTGCCCTATCGTCCGGGATTAGCGGTAGTTCGTCGATGCTCCCATCGCTGTTGTCGATGCTCCCGCGATTTTTACTCGCGTGCTTCCGTTTGCCGTGTCAATTAGCAAATTGCTGCTCACAACAGCGAGGGGAAAAAAGACTCGCAGACGGTTGGAGCCGCAAAAACGCGCATTATTGGGTACAGAAAGGGAGAGAGCTCGAAGAGAAGGAACGAGATAGAGCGAACTCGGATGACGAGCTCGGCTGACAATGACGATGATGGCAATGGTTCCCTTGTACAGGCAAGCTCCTCTGCGAGCCTAGCGAAGCAATCTAGGCTGGCCGAGAACAGGTTTTCTTACCTTTGTTGAGCACCCGCTGCATGTGAAACGGCTGTCTCCATGACAGGTCCGACGACAGTTCCATCCGATAAAGAGGCGACCGTATCTGCCAGAGCGTCTTTTTTCGTCTGAAGGCTCCTGGTCCAATCCGTGTACTCGTTCGCCACAGTGAGGTAGATTTCCTGCTCGATGGAACTTGCATGTTCAGAAGCTCAGGTAGCATCGATGTAGAAATTAGAGAGACGGAATATTCAGGTCACGTCGAGTAAGCGGACACAATTTTTTGTTTCGATGGCTCTCGTTGAGGATTTGCTCGGTATGTTCGTTGTGCGTCGGCTTATGCGTCAGTACTGTGATTGTGCTCGAAGGCGGATCGTCGAGAGTTGTCTCCCGCTGAGCGGCCACTCTCGTATTCACTCACCTGCTGGTGGAAGTCGAAAGTGTTTCTCACCAATGTTCTGATGAGGCGATCTTTCAGGCTCGTCTGCGAACGATAAAATCCGAGTCAGAGACCAGGTCGTGGCGCATCGCAAGCTCGGCTCATCCTCTGTGTGAAAACCCCCGACTCCGGAGTCTCGTTCCGCAGAGCCTAACTGTTTGCGGAGCCCTATCCAGGCAGTATTCCGCCGTAGCAGTTGCTCCGAGCCCTAATCGAGCTCGAATGTCCCGCTCCATCGGATGAACACAGTCGGTGGCTACACGGATAATCTTCCAGGTCACCCGGGGATCTCCAAGAGCATTGCACGGAATCTTTCTCACCTCTATGCCGTTGCGACGCTCCTCAGCGTTGAACATGGACATCGCTTCCGAGGCAGTGACTGCACATAGAAGGTCGTGTTCGGTGAACGGCCCCTGAGACGAAGCGGCTCGGACGCCCAATGCGGTGATTACGCTGCAATTTAACGAATGCCCATTGCCTCGATCTCTTGCATTACCTGCTCTACTAAGACTCCGGGACACTAACGAGCAGAATCCCGAAAATCACCCTTTCGCGAGGAACGTTTGTCGACATGGTGTCCCAGGGAGAGAAAAATTGAGCAAGACCCGGAGAAGTATACGTGTACGTCGATGCGTCACGAGGAGCTCGCTGCTCGCCGCGTCAGAAACTGCGACGATTCTCTCCTCGGAAACCAAGAGTAGATGCTTCGACATACGGGGCATGTCGACAAGCACGATCCGGATCGTGACGGAGTCGCCTTCCCCCGCTCATCATGTTGTTCAACAGCGGATATTCGGAGCGAGCGGTCTCTCGGATGTGTCCGCATAAGCGTGCGGAGATAAGTCCGCTCCGTGAAATATGACAGCTGCGGGGAATCGCCCGGAGCGTTTGACTTAAGCCGGAAAAGGAGGCGGACAATGTTAAGCCGTCGATCGGTCGAACAAGTCCGCGGATTTGATGAGACCCTTCTTCGACTCTATTTCGTCCGAGCCCGCATGAACGAACAAGAAGAACCCGCCGGTCGCTCCATATGATTCTTTCTTTCGCTATCCGCTCTTTAGGCCACCGTTCCGAATGGCTGCAAACCGATCGCTTGTCAAATAACCGGGTCGATCAATCGACGTATCGAGTCGCTCTGTGAGGCCGTCTCGGTTCCGCGTCTGCGGTCCAGCTTCGAGGGTCCTCGAAAGAGTTTTGAAACAGACCGCACGATCGCAGATGGCCCCGCATCTCGACAATGATCCGAACTCAATGTCCGACTCCGGTCCGCGAGAACCGGGGTCAATCATCAGCTCTCTCATCCAGGGTCCTTATCCTGATTTCCGATTACAGGTCGCTCGGCCTCCCCGAGCGAGTGAACTCGGGAGTTCCCCAAGCTCGAACTTCCGTATAGACTCCGCGGACCGGGAGTCGGCGTAATGAGTCCTCGCCCTCAGACTCAGAATAGGCATGCAGAACGTTTAGGGACCGAGAGAATCTCTCCCCTAGATCGAGATGGTCCGAAGAATCGCTCCGCTACCGCGGAAGGTTCGCCGGTACGGAGTACCCTCACGGAAAACTCCGATGGGTCCGTGTTTATTACTCGACTCCCATCCCGTATCGCCAAGTTCTCAGACAATTAGGGGCTTTGAATGATTGACTCCTGAGGGAGCCGCCATTGTTCGGACTCGGTGAGCGATCTTTGATGTTAATTTCGCTGCTGCTCTCGTTGCGATCGCCGGAGTTCCCTTTAACAGGCTCGGGCTCCCCATCAAAGGTCCCTGTCGAGAAGCTCTTTCTTTTGGCGCAAAAATGGCAGAATGGAAATCCGTACCGAGGAATTTCATTACGGAGCTCGAGAGCCACCAAACAGAACGGCTCGCTGAGCCGCTCCGCGGACGTTATTGCCAACGGCCGGAGGAGCGGGCAGGCAGGCAAGCGAACAAGCCAGTTAGCTTATGGCGAGTCAATGCCGGTCGGGAAGAAAAAAGTTCCACTCGAGACCACGACCGCTCGCACAAGAGACGTCAAAACGGACGAAGATAGAATGGACGGGCCAAAAACAGATTACGCTTGTACAAGAAGATGATCATTCAAACAGTCGACCTTAACACTACACTGCACACTGAAACGACGGACCAAACAGCGAACTCGATATGGAAAAGTTACACTCGGAGTTGAGTGCTCCGACTCTTTGCGAGGAACAACTTCAAAATCAGCCGGAGGTCCATGTGATTCATCTCGACTCGACCCGAAGCAACCGAAAGAGATCACTGCCGAAACGTCAACGGAGGCAAAAGATACTCTTCGGTATTTTGTCAGCTCGGCATGGGTGTGAAATTGCTACACGAACCATGTGTTCACCACAAAAACCAACATCGTCGCGAAATTCCGGCTAGATCATTGAACAACGTGCTCAACAAAATCAGCAGGGAATGTCTTCCCCTCGATTTGAGACTGAGTGAGATCGATCCGACCGAATTCCTTCCGAAGCGACGAAAGAAATGCCCTCACCTATTGTCGACGATAGGCCCGAAGGGTCCGCATAGATAGTCCGGAACTTCATTCGGGAACCGCGACAGTTCCACGAGTTCATCTGCAGTTTTGTGTCGCAGACATTCGACCTGCAAGTCAGTGGACTAAATTAACAGCAAATCGGATTAAAGCCATCGAATAATTAGATCCAGCATCCAACACCGCGCTCAGGTTCCCGGGAAGCGGTTCGGCCCTGATAAATATGCAGTAGGACAAACAAAAGCTTTAAGCCTAAACGTTAGTCTATGAGGGATAACTGACCATGGCAGACGGCTGAGTCGGACAGCCGAGTCTTTCGGCTAGCTGTTTAGCGAAGTAGTCCGCGTTGGAACTTTGACACAGAGCCCACGGCGAGAGCGCCGAGCCGGAGATTAGCGCGACCGAGCGGAAGAGATCTGTGAATGAAACTCCATTTAAAAGGCGTACAAGCATCGATTCCGTCCTTCGCTCTCGCTCGGATTCCGCCATACGGAAGAACGAATATTCGACCGGCCCGCTTGTCGGTTTCCGGGGTTCGAACCCGCTCGGATTCTCGGATGCGGCACTGTTTCCCCGCGTGGTTTCGTGAATGTCTCGGCGAGTGCCAGCACTGTCGACTCGCGAAAAAGAAATTCGACCGGGGTTCGAATTTTTCCGCTTTTTCCTTCGTCTCTCTCATACGTCGGTCGGTCAAGCGTTTTTACTTTGGGCGTGCTCGAGGGAATTCGTTGCATGGCGTCTCCAGCGATCTTTATGTCTCAGCAAATGCGGCTGCGTAACTCCTCTGTTTCCCTCTCCCCGTCACCCCAGGAGCTCGGAACGAACAAAGGATGCGATCGAGAAGAAGGAGACCGACGTTACCGTCGCGAATACGCAAACGCCAAAGGTGCCCTTGGGAAAGTCGAGCGTAGGAATTTCTCTTTAGGAACAAACACGCTGACAGCGTTCAACGACAAACACTACAGTTACTGTACCCACGACGACAACGACGACAACGTTAACGCGAGTGACACGTGCCGTGGCGCGAACGATTGCCTTCTCGCACTTTCTCCCAAGGGAGACGGTCTCGACAACAAACAGTCAACAGATTGTGGCTGGTATCGCTCAATTTCGCGGCACGCGGTGATCGCAAGTGAAAGCAAAGCTCGCGATTACGGAGCCGAGGTTTCCGAGATGGGTGTGGCAAGCGTCAGGAGACGGAGAAAAGTCGGAAGATCGTTCCGAATGGAAAACCGAAGCGGCTTCATGTCGCGCGGGGATATTTTAATGGTGTACTTCTCTGGAGCTGTCGCTAGCTAGGCGGATTTGCGACCTGCAGCGAGTACGATTTCCGGATGAAACATCCCGTTTCCTCCTTTCCGAAAGTTTGCTGTCGACAACCAGGAAAATGATTTATAGCTCGAGAGGGAACACATTTCTTGAAGAAGAGTAGTCCAGAGAGAGGAAAGGTTGCCGTGCGGGGAAGAGACTCAGCCCCGGTGAAACTGAAACACTAGGAGACCGTATGCGACTGCCGTTGCCATGAACGAAAACGTCAGGACAAAGCCGAGACAGGACAACCGTCGACTCGATGGTAATCCTGACGGAGTGACATGGTTCACGAATTACTTCTGGATCCCGACACCTGATGCTGAGGGAATCCCGAAGGAAAAATTTGACCTTCGCGTGAGGTTTTGAGTTGTAGGACTCTCCTCTTTCTTATTTCAATCAGGTTTGGCGACTTTCCAACGTCTGCTGCCACCTGTTTTATTCGTCGGATAGGCTCTGCTGTTTTTCCTTCGAGCCACTCAAATGCCAAAAGTTTTGCCGCTCTCTCCCTCGATCTCTCCCCAACGAGTGCCTCTCCTACAGCGGATTAGGCTTTTGCCTGTCTATTTGCTGTTGCTGCGGTGCTCATTTCAGATAAGACTTCGGTGCTACTAGTGAATTAGTATTGTTGCCAAAAGCTATTTAGCTCCTTTCCTCTCTTTTTCCCCGAAAGCAGCCACCGGGGACAACGCCATGGCCCTCGCTCCCGACAGGGGTCCGATCCGCGGCTCCTTCAGAGCACGCTCTTGCCAGCGACGAATTCGTCCGAACGAAAATTTTCGCTGAGTGGATACGAGTAATCCGCCCCTCCCCCCTAACCGGTCGTCAGCTAACGCCTCGTTCTCGGAATTCTCCAGTTTAGAATCCACGGATGACCTCGACAGCTCGGTAACATTGCGCTCGAGTGTACGTTTGGGTTGAAATGGACGAGCGCGAGTTTCCGCTCCGACCAGGAGCGCCGGAAGTGAAGCTCCGTTCGCGAGCCCGTCTTTTCAAGGAGTTTAGCGACTACTAGTCAATGTACGCGACTGGAACTTCGCCCGCGAATACTCTCGGGCAACGAGCAGTAAACTTCCTTCATCGCACGCATGTCGCTCGGTATAAGCCCCCCAACGCATCACTCCTCCACGACGCCCCCGTTGGATGTCAGCTCATCTCGCTCAGTATCTCTGTCAGTCTCCAGGCTCCCCGAGGGTCTTTGTTACATTGTGTATTCACATCGTCCTGAAAACAGCGGAATCTGGCGCCAGACCAAATCTCATCCGCAGGGAGCTTGTTTCCACGTCCCATTCTGCCGCCTTGTAGCATTTGTGTTCTCCTCCCTCCACGAGCTATATATTCATCTGAGGGATTCCGCCGCTGCGCGAGCTACGACACCTGTTTTCCAGACCACATCCCGAACATCGAGTTCTTTCAAAAGATGGAAATTATGAAGATCCAACCCTGCCGGATGTTTATGGGGGAGGGATCTTGAAGGTGCATGTGCCGACGCTCCGATGTATCGTCTCGGACGGGTCGCATCCACGACTATCCTGCCTGGGAGATTTGGCTCAGCCTTTTGGTATCTAACGGTATCTCATACGCAGTCACCGCAGCTCTCCGATCCGATATTCTCGACGGCGGCACCGCGACCACTGACGTGGAGCAAAAGAAGGAGCCAGTCGGCCGACCAGCCAGGGGGTGGGGAGGGGGTTGTCGGGACCAGCAAGGGGAGTCAGGCGAGCTGGTCGGAGCACGGGCGTGCGGCCAAAGGAAACATATCTCGCGACCGATTTGTGACTCGTTGGCTTGCTGGCGCAAGTCCAAAACGTAGCTCCGCTGCTTACGGAGCACCGGCGGCGAGGAGGCCACGTAGCTTACGGAGCCAACAACAGCGGGTCCGAACGTTTATGCTCATAGAAACGAAAGAAGGAGCGTGGAGCAGGAAAACTAGGGAGGTACTCTCCTAAAGCCTGGTCGACTGCGTGGCCTTCCGCGGAAAAGCTCTGAGGGGACACGGAATTGTCGTCGCAACCGTTTTCGTCCTCACCGTCTGTGCCTCTTTCGTTTTTCCCGAAACAGGATAATTTGCTTTACGCGCCCGGCCTTCCGTTGGGCGTATTGACGTCCGCCAGACGGGACGCACAAGCAATAGATTGTGTGGACAACTCGCGTTTGGACAGACATGTCTTGCGACAAATTCAGCCCAGCATCAGCGACAATATGCATTGCCCGCGATCGGAGCCCGCTAAATTGCGATCTGGGATTACGACCAGTCGCGAAATTGGCCACCACGCTCGCCCAAACGATCTGTTGTCGTTCCGGCGACGCAACGATGGAGGATATCACGGCGTTCCGTCAACATGATTAAGGGACGGAGCTCGATCGAAGAATCAAGTTGTTTGCGTCGCCAGATTGGGAGCAGAACCGAAACTATCAAGGTACATGACCCTGATTGGCTCGGATTGGGCTCCGATCGTTCTGGTACGACGGCGGAGTGCCCGTCACGGACTATTCTGCTCACTTCTGATCGAATGAACGCACAATCAGCTTTTCCATCGAGTTTCACATCTGGCCGAGGACTGGGACCGCGATCCTGCTCCGTTCCCGATCCGTGAGGGGGGGGGGCGGGACTCCGAGGAATAATATCTCAGGTGTTTAGCGGTGCCGTGTGGGTGTCGAGGTCGGTAAGAGGAAAAAAAAACGGTGGAAGAGAATTATCGACAACGAGAGGGAGTTGGGCCGCGCCGGCTCTCAAACAGAACCAGTTTCGCGATTGTTCGAAGGACTCTATAAGCCTAATTGGTGAACCACATGGATCCGCTTGAGCGCACGGGCGGCGCGCTTTCTAATTAAGAGACCGGCGAAAATCTCGCACGGTAACGTCGTTTCAAGCTTTCGAATCCTCAATTATACGAAGGTTCCATATAGAAGCTCCCCGGAGCGTAACTAAGGCTGTGTAGTATGCTATACGGAAAACGTATCTACCTGCTACCAGAATCATGCTGAATTCAGGCTGTCCGGAGTGCAGCTCAAGTAACAGGACGCGAGCGGGAAAACGAGAAAGCGAGATTTCCACGAGCTTGTGACTCAAATCCGATAATAATGGATGCTACCGCGTTTTCTGAGGGCGTGGTTGACAGTCTCTAGACGGAGACGACTATGAAAAAGCGCGTGGGAATTCGCTTCGCGAGGCTCAGGTATGCATTGTTTTAAGGGACGTGGGCGTCACATCCCGAAACTCTTCCGCGGGGCTGCGTTCGCTGAGACGTCGATCCCGGGGGATGAGCTAGTTTGGATATGGCTTTGAATTATCATAAAATTTAACATCCACGTCATTGAGGCAAACCGTCGGTTGAGTTTCAATGAAGGTGGTTTGTTTCCTCGCTCGACTCGGTAGTATGGCCTGGGGTCATGCGACGAAGGGGCTTGACAGGTCTCAGGGAATATTTCGACGAAGAAGCCCACGCTTCTTCCTGAGAGGCAGGAGCTTCGTCGAATAGCAAACTGAGAGCCTATTTCTGCGTCCAGAGCGGTTTGTTGCCAGTGGGAGGTATTTTCCTTTCCTCTTCCTTCCCGACCATATTATTCCTCACCTCTCCACTGCTGCAGAGCTAGCTGACCAGGCTGACAGACAGATCCCGCAAGGCCCGTGATTTAGCGGCCGGAGGAGGAAAAAAACCGGCCCGCCATTGACTACTGGCGGGGATCAGAACAAACAACCGTTGACCTTGCTCTTGCCTCCCGAGCGGCTTCCTGCTCCCACCTGATTGGCGTCGACAGCGAGGAAGCCCTGCTCGTGGAGCTCACTTGAAATATCGTCGAGCAGTTATGCCTTCATACTCGCGGATACATATGTATGTGACTTCGATAGACAACTTTCCGTTGGATCACAAGCGGAATGCCTATTGTGGGTACGCGGTGGTGAGCTCCGCTACTCGGTCATCCCGCATTGGAGCCATGTTCCCCGCACGCCTTTCCCGCTTTTGAATTCTTTCAGAGGCTTCTCCTTGAGGTCCAGGTTTAGGTATCGAGACCTCTCGTCAAAATTAGACGTCCTCAACAAGACGCGACGCGAGAAAGATATCTCAACGGTAGTTCATGTGTGGGTATGGGCCTTCTAAAAAATTCGACCGCGTCAGGCTGCGTCCAGTCGCTCGCCCTTGGAGGCCTTTTCCCATGACCTCAAAAGTCCGTCCGGGATGCCTGTCCGTCTCGCATGCGCTAAACTATGAATGGGTAGACGACTTTGATTTATGAATCAATTCCAAAGACACGATCCAGCGTTTTTCTTCTCGAGAGAGATGGCAACAGCGAGAGCTGAGGCGGTGACGGTGACACTCTCCAGTGGGCTTTCGCTCTCTCGTTCATCGAGACAATATTTCAACGGAACAGGACAGCAATGTCCGAGAATACTTAAAACAAAAAGCAGGAATAGAACATTCGCGGGAAGCGTCCGCAGGAGAGAAATTCGTCCGGGAATTCCCATGATCTCCGTCGTCTCAGAAAGTGAAACGAGAAATAGAAGAACAAAAGAAGAGATGAAACTCTAGAGACTGCGATGACGGGTAACAAATGTTTGGAACGTGTTCCGGGCGAGGCCGAGGGTGATGCGGCCGCACAGCTCAGCGGTCGTCCTCTCTTTTTTCCAAGTCTACTGCTGTAGACACCTAGTGTGTATTTGTGTAGGTGCGAGTGTTCACGAATGTGTTGAGCGCAGTACAGCTACCCCTGGCTACTGGGTGGGAGCGGGAAGGTGGGCGAATTCTTGTTCACCTTTCGCCAAAGGGTACATCGCCAGAAGATGAACCAATCCCGCTGCTTTTCCATGACCCAGGAGCGTGACCCGACTGCGATCCCCGCCGAAGTTGTCTACATTACGCTGAATCCAGTGCAATGCCGCAACCTGTGGACAGAAGAACATCGGCGATTATTATTTGTTGGAAGCACCGCTGCTCGCTCAGAAGCACTTACGGCACTTCGGTTGTCTTCGCGCCGATCCATCTACGCTAGAGGCTAATATCGAACAACACACGTTCAACAGCTGCTTTTATTGGACCGAGAAAACAGAATATGCGCTCCTCCGGGCTCTGACCTTCTTCGACTCGGGGAGCGTGAAGACTGGGAATCTCCTTACGACAAGAAGGATGTACACTTGAATATCGGAGAAACAAAGCTGATTTGCTATCATTTTATCCGTGTTTCCCGGAGCGCATAAAATCGAAAGATGGGCTGACATTGTGGATATCGGAGTTCTGGGAAAATCGTCTCGAGCCTCGCACCCGGAGCTCCATGAGAACCCCGGGAGGTGGAAATTGTTCCAATCGAACCGGAAGTGAGACAATCCACGAGTCAGGGTAAACGTCGTATCGTCATACCTTGTCAGAGCCATGGAATTCCTCTCGGAGAACGAGCATAATTAGTGGGAGCGAAATGGCGCGTCTCGCGAGGAGGCACTTTGAGGGACAGGTCTTCACAGGCGCAGTCTCAGGAAATTAATGACACAAAGCGGAATTTGAGCGCAAAAATTGCAGTTACTGACAGCTACGGCTCCAGAGTTAATTCTTCGTTAATCATTTCCTCGCTCTGTCCCGATGGCCGTCTCTTGATTCTTGTCCTCATTTATCTCTCACTCGCGAATTGGAGTGCGCACTCAGATCAATTCAAGGGTCCGCCAGAAAAATCACCACGCTTGCTCTTTCAGCGAGAGAAGGAAAGAAATCGCTGCGATCGAGTCTGCTATGTCTCCAAGTCGTACTGAGTCATTCGAGAGGAGCTCGCATCAGCTTCGCACGATTCGCGCCGAGTTCGCGCCAGTTTTCTTCCATGCCACATGGGAATAGCGTCTCACCTGATCAAGGAGCGCATTGTTCGATCGAGAAGCCTCTTCCATCGCTGGGAAAAACCTGGAACGGAATCGGGTGGTGTACGAGTCGGTCATTGGGCGGAGATTCCCTGAGCAGGAAACTTAGGTACCAATCTCGGCTACAGTCTCTTCTACGGAACTGAAACTCAATCAGCCAATTTTGAGCTTCCGAGACTACGTCCCGCATGGCGCAGGGGTTTTTAGAGAACGCTCCGGAGAGAATTGCGGGACCGGATTGGCTTGAGCCCAGTTGGAGTAGGAAACGCATTGATATAAAGCCAAAATACGTTTAGCTAGTCACACAAAAGGTTGCGGCGGATTTCAGTTTGTTAGTTCAGCGGTACGGCTTCCTTTCAGGCGCCCCCGCGCCGGTCGGATGGGGCTCAGATTCTCATGCTTTCCCAAATCTACAGAAGACGGAAGCTGGATTTGCCGAGGTCTTCTCTGTGGAAAACGGGATCCGCTCCTTCCGACAGAGTCCGCTCTTCTCTTCCATCTCCGCTCCTCTGCTCGAGTCCCATTCAACGGAGAGCATTTTCAGCTTGACCGCAATCCAATGACTCCCGTCGAGAGTTGAAACTGTGACAGTCAGTATCCCGACTTAACGTAGATGCCAGCCGCCACGTCGCCTCTCCATCCTTCTGCCGGACGGGAGACATTCAGCCATCGGACGCTCCCGAACAGCAATTCCATTCGAAGCTGCGTCACCAGAGTTTCGAGGAGCCGGGCAGGCAGTTGGAGCGACTGAATAGGACGACGCAGCTGCCACAGCGGCAGCAGGTTTCGATTCAGCATTCATTTGGGAATTTTTCGAGAGCAACGCGACAACTGGCTGCTGGTTGTTCTTGTTGTTGAGAATTTTTGCTTCGAAAAAGAGAACACACAGTTCCCGAGCCCGCGTTCCCGTCCGACCGACCGACCGCTCTTTCTCCCATCGGCTCGTCCGCCCATCTGTCCGCGTCTGCCGTTTGCCAGCCAGTCGACTTGCCGTCTTTTTGCGCGAGCGGACGAGTGGGCGCACGTTTTCTGCCCTCGACGGTCCCCTGTCAGACGTTCGTCTGTTCAGCGCATTTCGCGACGAGACTGCGCAGCGGCGGTGGCGTTCGAAGCGAACATCAGCTCACATCTGGAAGAACAACCTCAAGTCGCTGCGCGGTGCTCGTCGAGAGTTCACTCAAAAACGCCCGGAGAGTGGACCCGTCCGTCTTTTTTCCGCCGTGTCGTCGGTGCTCTTGTCGCCTCTGTCGTTGAAGTCGCCATCGGTCGGAATCGGCTGATTGCTCGGACGAGAGCCCCATGCACAAGCTTTACCGAGCTGGATGACAATCGATTCGTTGCAACTCGAGTCCGATATCAGCGACCGCACGATGTCGGTGAGGAGTCAGCAGAAGCGAACGGAAAAGGCTCACTTCGGCGGAGCCACGTCCAACAGCATCTCATTTGTCACGGAAAAGGATATAGATAATTTTCGGTAGGGTTATTCCCCTCTTGAATAGCCGGCCCATATCTGCGGCTTTGGGTAGTCGATGGACCCGACAATCCGTGTAGTATCTGATCGCGTACGGATGCGCTGAGCGAAACTGCGCTCTTACGATGCTTCGTCATCCTTCGGTTCAATCGTTTGGTGTTTGTTTGTTTGCACAAAACTTCGGGTTTCCGTATCAGCGACGGAAAATCAGCGACAGACGGGGCTCGACGACGCCGTTGATACTGCGGATCGAGGCCACCGTGAAACGTTTTTCCCATTACGGCTCAACAAGGGCCGGACGCAGGGGATCCGAGCGACGCAAGCGATCCGGTATCTTCGAGCAGTTGCCCTCGGTGCTCAAGCGTTCAGACAGTCGATCTCCTCATCACTGATTCTCGTCGAGCATCCTGGGCCTCCGCTCCTGAGGAAGAAAGCTACGTAATCGAAACTTCTGTCCCGACAACCTACCCAGAACTCCGAGACGAAAGTTGAACGTCACGACGATTACATGAGCTGCGGCCGCGAGGGCTGTGGCATCGAGCAGGGAAGCGCCGCCCCACTCGAGTGACGACGCCGCCGACACGATCAACACGGGTAACTTGCTGTGTTCTGTGCGACTCACTGAAACCGAATTCAATCAAATTAATGAGAATAATCGACGCTGATTCGGGCGGCAACGTGCGTGTACCTACTTATTTACGGGCCCGACTCCTTTCATTGTGCCTTAATTGCTTCGTCGGATGCGAGGCCCTTCAACAAGCTGACAATGCGAGCGGCTCTTGTCGACACGGGCTCTAGTGTGTGACGCAAGCTTGTCGCTTGCGGCAAATCGACGGCAATCCTGCGAGTCGCGGCGCGAAGCCGCACGCCACCAGGCTATCCATCCATCGCCCGCCGGCCGGACGGCCCTTCGTTCGATGGGCCTGTCCGGCCGGCTATCTCCGTTCTTGATGGTATCAGTGGCCCAATGAAACCAATTAATTTGACTCGAACGGTAATCCATGACCTGGCGATGTTCCGTCCGACCTATCGCTGCGGCCGGCCGGCCGATCGGTCGACCGGAGTCCGGAGCCCAGTCAGCGAGTCAACGAACCAAGAGGTCGTGGTGGTCTCTTTCTGTCTTGAGCCCAATTATTCGTCCGGACCGTTTCCGAGCCGGAAGGACTCTAAGGAACAAACTGATAGAGAAATAGTAGCCGCTCTCGTTCTCACGCTTCTTACGCTCCTTCTTTATCTCTTGCGATTCGGTCGGCTCTCCTCAACTTCCTGCGGTCGCATTCGTTTCTCTTCGATAGCGGACAGGAATAATCTATATTCATTCATATAGTAGGGACGTAGCCAATTGGTGGCAGAGAAATCCCGGCCGGAAATCTCTGCCGTTCTTCCCCGATGTGAGGGACGACGGACGGTGGAGAGGGGGATCCGTGAATGACCTCGAGCGGCTAAATAGGAACGTAACGAAGACGAGACGCGATCCCATAGGAATTATTCCCCGCTGACCGAGGGATCGCGCGCGGATTCGCTCAGAATGCCTAATGGTATGACCGCTTTCGGTCCCTGAGACGAAATCGCAACTTTCGCGAACGCCACGATCCGGAGCGAAGTGGTTGCGGGATGGCGCTCCGTATCCCTCGCAACCGTCTCAAGAGAGGGGGGAGGGGGCGACGACAGAGAGGGGGAGGGCGGGCGGGAGCACCGAGGGGCTTCGCGAGGTATCGCGACAATAATCAATAGACGTGGAGCCGGGGTACATAATTTCGATGACAGACTAGTCGACCGACCCATCGACCCCGCGAAGCTACGGACGTCTGGGCGACGTCGACGGCTGACTGATTCATTCGTTGGTTGGTTCGTTCGCTCGTCCATTCATTCATCTATCTATACCGCGATTCTTTCTCGCTGATTCATTAGAGGTCGTGCAATCCGCAAGCTGCATCGCTCTTTGTACGGTTAGCCGAATTATTGATTAACGCGGTGGTGGCTGCAGCGGGAACGACACGCACGACAGACGAGAGGAGGAGAAAGGAGACGTTGTTGTCGTTGACGTCGGGCGAAGGAACGGTGCAACGACTTCTCACTGACATCGAGGGCTTCTCGACCGACTGACCGCGTGGGCGAAACGGCCTCCAATGGCCGAATCGTTCGAAGCCGCATCGGGAAAAGGAACGAACCAACAGACAGCTTATTGCGACGCAATTCATCTCGTGATCGCTCCTTAATTACGTCATGGCCGGAGACAGCGAGTCGACTGAGGCCCATGAGGGTCATGGACGAACTTCGCACTCACGTCCAACGAATAGGTATGCCGACGTGAATATTCCATGTTCCCCATCAGCAGAACTATATATCTCTACCCAGACGCATCTCTTCCATTTGAATATTCAGATACACCTTCTGTTCCTGAAGTGATGATTGATTGAGCTCGATGAAACTGACGGCTGCTTAAGAGGCGCAGCACACGACAACGACGTATTCCTCGTCCGGAAAGCACTCGTCGACTAAGGAGTGAGACTTCGAGCTCTCCGGCGGCTCCGTCTGCATGAATAGCTGCGGGGGAATTTCCCCAAAAAAGGTGGGGAGCGGAAATATCCGGACGGTGGGAGTGCGAAGCGAAACATGATCGAGATTCGGAAAACTCCATTTCTGATTCTTCCTTTTGTCGCTCCAATCTGTCCCACCCCTCTTCTGGAGCCCATCGATTCGGGCTCGACGTGATGCGAGAGGGGTTTCCCGTTTTTCCCCGCGGTCATTATCGCCACTGCTGTCCGCCCGTATACGGGGCGGCGCGCTTCCGCGTCGCTCCTTTCGTCGTCCCTTCGACTTCATAGACCATTGTACCTTCAAACCTGCGGAAGATGAACGCGGAAGGCAACGACTTAGGAAACGGCGCAGTGCAAGTAAAAACGTCCCAAGACAAAGAACAGCATTTCTCTCGCGGAGCGCGCCACGAAAATATTCCGGACGCACAGGTTCGTGTCAGCCGACGGAACAGAGAGAATGTATTCTCAGGCTTCGCATCCGAAAGGAGTTTCCACTTACTCAAAAGACGCTCAGGGGGTCTCCCGAGACTACGGCTAATGATATTTGCATGAGAATCATTCATATTCCCCGCTGCGAGCGTCATGGCCTCAGTGAACTTCTGCGATGTCTCTCCCGGCGTCTGCGAAGCAAAGCGAGCGTCACGAGTGGCGGTAATTTGTGCCTCCTCTGTCTGCGGTGGACGCGGTCAAGCCAATGCCCCTTCCAAAGCCGATTTGAGCACCAGAATGGGCAAACAAGCGAAAAAGAGGCGGCTCGCTGTTGACACAACGTGCAGCGAATCCTCGGCTTGGCTCGCCGCCCGGAGCTCGCCCCGAATGACGGTCTGTAATATGTATATGACAGAGTTCCCTCGTCGCTTCGTGTCTCTGGACCTTCCTCCTCCAATCAGGGCAAGGGCTGCATATTTGAGGAGATATGCAGATCCCGCTCTGGATTTCCCACGAGCGAGCTCTCACTCGGACGAGGAGCGCCGACATCGACTGGCTGGCGGCTGGCCGGCCGGTCGGTCAGTCTTCGACGCAGATTGCCGACACACTCTGACGACCCCTGCATGTGTCATTGTTCGATGGGTAGCTAGAATTATTAGAACATTGTTCCCTCGTGTCTGTGACGCGCCAATACGAAGATATCGCCTCTTCTCGAGCATCGAGCATCCTTGCAGAAGTCGGGTCAATTCGGAACAACTTCGCCTCTTCGAAGGCGAGATGACGGAGACGCTTCCCGAGCGTCTATTCCTCACAGCCAAGGGAACGAGGACGAGGAGGAGAAGGAATGAGCGACGAGCTCAATTCTCGTATTATAATATTTCGAGCCCGTCTGGAGCCCGCTTCGGCGCGCCAAGAGCCCTGAGGCCTGCCTGGCCACGCCGAATAAATCGGCTGTTTGGTCAAGGAAATTCCTCCTGTCATCCTGTTTGATCCCTGGAAGTCAATTCAGAGTCTCCCGGGTCCAGAGGAGCAATCGTCTGACTCTCGTTACGAAGGTCCCTGTCGAGCTTCACACACTCCTCGTTACGCTGTGTGGGAAGTAGGCGGTCAGGGGGACGACGCCTTCGAATAGAGGATTTGGAGAACTTGGTAGGACGATTGTTATGCGGGACAGATCGGGCGTCGTCCACCACGTGTGTGTGTAGTAGCGCTGCGGCCAGTGTGCTGCAAGCGGCAGGTGGCCGAATCTACGGTACGGGGAGGCCATTGTGTACCGGATACAGACTACGAGAAGTTTTGTACGCGGAACATGACGACCATCACGCCTCGGCCCAGATTCGGACTCGACCCGATTCCAAAATGGCTCGATGACAAAATAAGAATCGGGAAATGAAAAATGGGTGAGAGACGGTGAGAACTACAACCAGAAACAAGGAGCCACCGATGACGTGAATATCGACCGGTCGGCATGAGCCCCTTGAAGATTCCAAGAACAATCCGTGAGCGATAATGACCGCTGCCCCGAGAGCTCTGGGACAGGTGTCGTTTTTTTGTTCCTTCGGAGACCCCGATCAAGCGAACCAGCGCGACCCGGCCGCTCGGCTGACTCGACCGTTGATCGACGAGAAATCCTCCTCACAAAAATCTTAATTACACATCGCATCCGGATTCCCCGCTCGACCAGGTCTCATCGTTCCTGATTCCGAAACGTTTGAACAAGATAACGGTCTTCTTCCCTCCGTCCGCTCTCTCACAACGCATGTAAAAAAGGAGCAAGTAGAAAATGTGTGTAAGAGGAAGGTCGTCCGAACCCGACAGGACTCTCGAATGGCTGTAGAATGCGAAGACAGGTATCTGGAGCCGATCGGGGGCTAGAGCCCCTTCCCGACTCTCAAGGAGTGAGAGGAGCCCGCGGCAGTCAAGAGTCGACGATTCTTCTCTCGCGCAGTCTTAATACTGGTCATTGGGGGGACAATAGTCGCCGTCGTTGCGTTTCTTGAGCCCTCTCGGTCGACGGAAAAAGCGATGGAAACGAGCTGCCTGACCATGAAGGAAGCTCTGCGGCATTGACCGCTCTCCCGTGGGGACGCCCGTACCTACGGGTGCCTACGGGGCATGTGTGATAATGTCGCCTCGATAGACAACACACCGCTTCCCTGTTGCCGTCCGGGTGGATTCTTAGGAATTAGGAATAGTGATTCCCGACGCAGCATTCAGACCCGAGCACAGGATCGTATGTAAATCACACTCCTCAGCCGTGCCCGATAGTCGCGACCCAGACGCGATGTCCTATTCCCCTCGGTTGTATTTTCTTTGCCGTGGGATCGGGGTCACCTCTTTCATCAGAGGAAACGCAATTCCACTCTTCCATCGTTCGTACCTTGTACGATTCTTCCTCTCCGCTTCATCTTCCTCGGTTCTTCCTCGTTTACATCAAATCTCAATGCATCCCATCTCCCTCTCCAAAACCCTCATACAACAGGAACAAGATCACAATGGGGACCATTGCAACATCTCGATACAGGACTCCCCATGCACGAATGACGCCGACTACTAGATAAGAGCACGTGTGTGCTGATATTTTCAGGGTATTTCGCTCACGTTCCAACCAAGCGAGTCGGCGAGTGAGTCAGTCGCTCGAGCAAATAGGGAGACAGGCGAGCTGGTAGACAGTCGACACTCTGCATTACGTATACCCGAACCGGATCTTGTACTGTGTTCCGAATGAGAATATCTCAGTCAGTTCTCAGGGAGCAAACTCGTCGAAACCGAATCGGCATGGAGGCGTGCGTAGAGCCCCGTCGGTGTTCCCGCTGAGAACTCGAATGAATCGAGGGTTGAAATGGAAAAGCGTATGAATGGATATCCGACTTTTCGATCGATTGCAAAAAATTGATCAGTAGGTTCTGCCTACGCAAAGCTCAAATAATTTGAAAAAGTTTCGTGAGCGATGACGGGCTCTGGAACTTCCTGGGGAGCCGATCCAGTGACTGAAGGATTCCGGACGAACGCGGTCACTCGGTCGAGATCACTCAGAGCGCGGTGAGGGACGCGAACCAAACATCCCGTAATCCTACGTCAACAATGGTCTTTTCGGGAGTAATACGAGGAAAATTAGACGAATTTTTCATGCTTCAGTCTGGCTCAATCTGACGCCACCAGCAGGAGACACGTCAAGCATTGATTGGTGGAGCAGGGCGATCTCGCATGGACCTCGCCGCGACCGTTCCGTGTAGTCCGGCTCGGGCTTCTAAATTGTATCCGGATGCATGTCGATATGGCTGCGGAGTCAAGGCTCACATCCGAACTCGAAACTGTGCTCACACTCATTGGGCATGAGGGAGTCGCTAATCAGTCAGACATTACGTCGCGTCGGCCGAGCCCCGGCTTCCGCTGCTCCTTACGACTGTCGGAAAGCTTCCCTCTAACTCGCCTCGGAGTCAGAGAGTTAGTCAGACTATGTCCGTGACTCAACTGGCTTATTAACACGTCTTGAAGCGGATCGCGCTCCGTAGACAATTGTCAACGCCGCCGCGCCGACGATAGCGATTGCCGTCGACGGATAAGCGCAATTCTGTGGTCTAACGCTCCGAGTTACCGTGATGAACGCGGATCACAGCTTAGATCATTCATTGGATTCCGAAAGTCAAGGGAGTCTTCTTCTATGACTTTCGAATCGGAACTCCCGATGTATTCCGAGAAATTCCGCCTTCATCCCTTCGTCACTGCCGACTCACCTGATGCAGGGGCGAATATGTTGAGATATAGACAATCTTCACTCTGGTTGTCCTGGAGAAAGTCCGCCATTTGCGACCATGGAGTCCACGTCCGATTCGGCGAGCGGTGTTCGACTTTGTCCCGTTCGTCTTCTGTGGACAAAGAAATCGATTTAAATCCTCAACCTTTCCAAGTTCGAGTCGATGATCTTGTATTCAGCACTCAGGAGTCGAGGGGCTCCACGTTGAACACACCGTCTGAGTAAGGTCTCTGTCGGCTCCAATGGGGGGGAGCGTCGGGCGGCGCCTGTGGACAGTTGGGTCCGAAGTGGTCGGCTTCACGAATACCGTCCCAGTGTGCGGCGGTCATCGGAGGCAGGAATCGGAGAGATCCAACCGGTGGTGAGGCGTATGGAATGCCTAAGAACACCTGCGAGTAGACGCAAGGAGACAGTCAGCCTTGGATGAATCATATCAGGGGAAATCTCGGATCGAGTTGTCTGGGGTAATCTAAGGTTTCCCTATCACAGTATCGAGAATAGCGTATCGAGAGGGTTCAAGAGATGTCAAGAAAAAATCATTTTCACAATACGCGAGCATCCCCTTGGTATGGAGGGAGGTCTCCAGTGGGTATGGCTCGATCATGCCCTCCTTTGTTTCGAGCTGCCTTCCCCCTGGGGGGAAGTCTCTTCGCGGCGGAGTCTTCTGACGGTTACTTCCGAAGCGAAGTTGACGGGATTTCTACGGAAATTCTACGGAAATTCTAGAGCGAAACTCTGACGGAAAATGATAACGGGCTCTAGCGACGCGGAATCTCAGGACGGCTCGATCGGATGGCGCATGAGGTCTATTGGGAGAAGCCGGGGGCTCGTGGGGGAGCGTTGAGGCGGCAGAAGAAACGGGGACCTCGGACCAAATTAGGAATCGCTCTCGAGTCGGTCCATTCAAGGAATTGAAAGCAGAAGAAGCGAATCAAGATTCCATCCCGAGGAAACTCGACTCCGGCTTGACGTCCTGGTCAATAGCCTGATTCCTCGGAATTTTCGTGAGGGTAGGAGGGGTAGCTTTGCGGGCGGGGGGTCGATCCAGCAATAGGCGAAGAGGCGGGCGCACCACCGCATGCTAGCTCCCGTGTAATAATCGGAAAATTCACTCCCTTCTCCGATCCTTCTTCAGCCGGTGACGAATTGATTCTACGAGATCAATATTGATTTACACAATCGCTGTCTCCCAAAACAAAAGACGATACTCTCAAATTCATGGCAGACGGGACTTGAGCGCATCGAAATGAGTCTTGCGAAACAAAAGCGATTGCTCTATGATAGATACCAGCAGAGAGTTGTCGTAGTATCCCTCGCATTCGATGATCATTCAACAAAATACGATATTAATCTCTTTGTTTAGTCGAAGAATAGTTTCATTGATCTCCCAGTCCTCCGCTCCTGTTTCATTTGAATATCCCGGGAGCTCGAGCAGGGAATTCAGAGGAGAGATACGAAATCAAAAGGCGGAACGGCGACGAAGACGAATCCGGGAGTGTCATGGGATCCCGAAGGAAATGTTCGGGACGATAAGGAGGACGTCGACGACAATGTTCGATACCTTGTCCCGCCAGGATTTGACCCGGGCGTACGGAGGAGCAACGTTCGACTCGAACAGTTTTGGAGTAAGACGAGACATAAGTTTTTAGAATCCCGATCAGAAGAGATGTACCCGCGTACAATGACAGGGGATGTGACAACGAGCGGGAGCAGAAATTATTTGCCGCTCGAATCGTCACCCGACTAGGTTATCCGTTCTTTCGCGATATTTGTGGTCTGGCAGAGATACGAATCCAAGACGCAAATCCTTGTTCGAACCGATGCGGGAATAATTCCGTCGACCACCGGGGCCGCGGCGCTTTTGAGGATCCCCCTCCCGATCTCTGTTGGTTGTGGGAGATTTCTCCGTCCAACTACATTTCAGGGGAAAAAAGCCTCTTTCGAGTCGAGACTCGCGTTCCTCGGGCTCGCATGGATTCTCGAGCACCGAAAAAAGTATTCCGGGCAGGCAAGGGAAGGAATCCGACCAGTTAATATTCTCGAAGACAGGGAGAGGCATAGAATCGCTTTCCGGCTCTCCCGGTGAATAGTCAAACACAGGATCGTCCCAGTGTCCTAGGCCGATCACCGCTGCACTCGGTTGAACGCACTAATGTGGAAAACGCCTCTTGGAATTTCCGGCGCGGCAGGAAACGGCAGAAAGAAGCAAGGACTCACTTCTACAGGTTGAAGGGCGACTTCGTGCAGTCGGGCTTGGGGCAGCACGACCCGGCCTCGTAGTTTTCCGAACATTGTTCGGACGATTCTCTCGCTTGATTTCCAGTCGCCGAAGTCCCTTTCCAGAAGAGCCGAGACTCCCGGGAGCCAAGGGCTCCACAGCAGCAGCAGCAGGTAGGCAACGGCACAAGGTGACATGACGTGCAGAGGTTTCGGTTTCGTCAGCAACATTCATCAGGAAGTCCCGCCGACGGATTCTCGCTGCTCCCTGCAATGTGGAAAAAACTAATTGAGTACGAAGGAGGGATTGCCGCGTTTTCTTTTCCGTTCGTGGACGTTCCAGGACGACCCTGAACACCACGAGTGAACGGAAAGACAAACTGTCGGACGAGGCGGACGCGGGCGTCCGGCGACGAGGGGTCGGTCCGTTGACCCGTGAGAGTTGTTGACAGACGTACAGAGCGGGGCTTGACGGACGGATTGATAGACACGCGAGAAGATTGCGTGGTGGTGGTCGTGAGGACGCGCCAAGCCACTAAAAGCAAAACGGAACATTGTCGTCTAACTGAATTATCCCTCACCATAAGCAGCTGCGACAGCAACAACAACAGCGTCGAGCGAGCGAGCAACAAAGCCACACTTCGGAAGTCTGCGCTGCTGACAAGTAAACCCTACAATGGAGTACCGACACAAATGAAGTTTGCCGTCGCTAGAGTCTGAAGTGAGTCTGTCCCGTCTATCCTCTCTACGTGTCTTGGACGCTGCTCTAGTTTTTGTTTGCTGCTTCCCGTTCTCTGTTGAAGTTTGCGAGCTGACATCGTACGCTCCAAAGTAAGTTTTTAGGGTTCGTTACACTCGTCCGGGACCCAAACGAAAACATCATAGGCGCCTCCCGGGTGACCACATGACGCCTCCAAAATCATGGGATCTGAAACCCTGAGCGATCTCCCCCTCTGGATGATTCGGACGCCAAGATTTGCAGTCATCCGAGGTCGATAGCCACTGCCCGACAACCAAAACCCAACAGAATAGGTGAGACCTAGGTTGGGATAAACGGAGGCCGTACATTCCGAATCTGTGAACAGTTTTCTCGTGTCAGGTCTAGTTTTTCTGTAAAATCAATTTTTCGGATTTTCGTGATCTTTTCCCTCAAAATTTTTTTCTGCTTCACGATGAGCAAGATCCATGAAAATTGGGGAACATATAGAGCCACCCCAGGTCTATCTCTGGTCGAATTTTCGTGTAATTCGGAGCAACAGTCTCTGAGCTAGAGTGCATCAAAGTTCGAAAATGGCTGAAAAATGCGGATGGCAAGCCTCTTTGCCAAGGGCTGACAAGAAAACTATCTCCTCCGAACCCGTCTAGCTCAGAGACTGTTGCTCCAAATTACACGAAAATTCAACCAGAGATAGACCTGGGCTGGGTCTATATGTTCCCCAATTTTCAAGGATCTTGCTCATCGTGGAAGGAAAAAAAAGTTTTTTGAGGTAGAAAATCACGAAAATCCGAGAAATCGATTCTACAAAAAACTAGACCTGATACGAGAAAACTGTTCATAGATTCGGAACGTACGGCCTCCATTTATCCCAACCTAGGTCTCACCTAATCTGTTGGGCAAAAAAAAAAATGTCAGCCGTAGAGGCATTCGATGGAGGGTTGTTCTCTCGATTCTATGCCCTCTGTTGGATGAAAACTTGGGCCGGCGAAATTGTCTTGACGGAACGGTCCGATCACTCCTGGTCGCGTCGACGATTTTTATTGAGGTCTGCGGAGAGCTCGACAGAGTCGCTACACTGTTAGACTCGAGCTCCTTCGGAGAAGAAAAAAGAGTCACTCATTTTTCCCAGTCAGGGAGGAGCGCGTTCGGAGGGCAACGAAAGGGAAGAGGCGGTAATATCAGGCGAGTTGAGGGACGCGTCAGCAAAAATTGAGTCGGGAGGCGACCTCGCGACTGAATTGCGTCGCAAGCCCGTGCGTCCGACGGTTAAACTGGGGGTAATTGTTGTGATCGCCGTGTTGAGAACCCTTGTCTCCCAGGAAAACATCGTCGCGTTGACTTCCAGAGGCGCAAAAACTTCCAGGAGGGGAGTCGCGGAATCTCCGATATCGAAACTTTTTTCTTTCCGCTCAAACTGCTAATACCGTGTCCCCGGCAGCTGCCGGAGAGACAAACACCTGCACGATGAGAGACTCCACGGAGAATCGAGAACTATTTCAGCGTGGCTCTCCGACTATATCGTTCGCTCTCGTCCGCATCAAAATAATTCTCGTCGACTTGATTCGTTGAGATTCTAGTCTCACTCGCTCAGCCGTTGGTCCGCCCCCGGTGCCGCTGGCTCACTTGATCATTCTAGGCGAGCGCCATCTCCGGCTCCCTCCTAACAACAACACCAGGAGATCACATCTCCGACATCGAAAGTTTCCGTGAGGCAGCGTTCCGCCGGCTGTCGTTCGCAAAACTAAGCATCCTCACCGAACAGCGAATGAAGTCGTAACCGAGCGACCGAAGATGAAAGTTGCTAAACGAGACAGACGTAAGGACTGCAGCCCCCTCATTGCATGGGAGACCGAAAGTTTACCGGGGGGAGGAACATCATCGGAGTGATGATCCCAGTGACTCCTCTGACCCGGAATGAGACCAACTGTCTTGCCTCTGGGCCACTTCAGGAAATCCTCCGACGCTTGCGGAAGTCAGGAATTGAAGAGGAACGGTCCCTTGATCGTTCGCTGTCGGAGCAGCGAATCATCGAGGCAATCCAGACATTCCGTCTTCGCGGATGGGTTTCTGGACGTAGTAATTTTCTTACGAATCCTTGACGTAGGTAGGTAGTAAGGATTCAATCTCTGAATGATGGCTCAGATCTCGATGACTCCATGGGGAGAATAGAATGACGGAGCTACGCCTGACATCCTCCCGTACGGTAGGCGCGGCCAGTCGGTCATTCAGTCAGTCCGCCAGTAGGGTTGCTACGTACTCCTCGACGTCGGCAGCCGGGGACGGCGATGTCATGAATACCGGAGCGGAACTCGGATGAAGACGGCCGAGGGGGACCAGCCGGTCGTTGGTTTCCTTCGGCCCCCTGTGCTCCCCATCTCTTCCTCCAGGTCTAAAAACGTTCTTCCAAACCTACTCACAATCCTATGCACGAGTTCCCTCGCTGAGGGAGTTAACATAGGAGATGGAAGTAGAGGCAACGAACTCTCCGAATTCTTGTGTTCGGAGAGGACTACCTCGCAGACCGAAAGCAACTTCCGCTCGGTCTTCCGAGCTCGTTCGCCATCAATACTTGGCACGCGACAGGCGCTCGCGTTAGACTGATACTGGCAACTTGTGTTTTTCCGGTGACTTCAAGGCCTTCCCGCTCGCTGCACTGGACTCAATTTGCAGCTGGAGCGCCCTTCGGTCTAGACGGGAACTGCCATTGCGCGACCGAGCGGAATGAAGCTCCGGAGACTCCCGGTTTCCGAGCTGGAACGGAATCCTCCGGGACTTCGGAGCGAGATGAACGCGTGAGCCAGCAGCGCAGGAACAAGGCATTTCAGCCCTCGATCACTCCTTTCGCTGAAGAGTTATTCGGTATCGAGGCGGACTCGGGAGTCGGCTCGAAAATCTAGATCGGAGATCACGTACACTCTCCTTCTCGATTTTGGAATTGATAAATCTCGATGCTTTCGCAAGTTCGCAACGCTTTCGGCGCCGTCCGCAAATCTAATTTTCGAAATCCGAGACCGTAGGTGAGAGGAGAAGGTGCGACGAGAGAAGTGACCCGGCACGAGCGGCGTATATATCTTCCTGTACACGGTATAGATGCGTAAGAACGGTGGGAAGATCGAAGGGCTGGCAAAAGAGAAGAAAAACAACGCCAGCAATTGTAAAAACGTCTCCGCTCAACATACCGGTCGTCGCCAATATCGATGGCAAATAAAGTGGCTGAGCCAGGTAGGTTGACGTTTATTTTTCCCCGTGACAGCCACGTCAGGGCAGCTCATTCGACGTCGGCTTCCTCTTCGTTCGCTGTCGTACGCATCGTCTCAGGACTCAGGACCGAAACTACCGTTCTGACAGAATTCAGAGAAACAGCGTAATTCAGACGCACGAGTCGTTCGCTAACAACGACTCGCTCAGAGTTCTAGCTCCGTCGGGAAGGGTCGCGGTCGTTTCGTGGCCTCCCTTCGAGAAATGGCTCCCGTCGTCCTCGGAACGTCGCGATCTTTTCGAATCAAGTTTTGTTCCCGAGTTCGGTGCCTCATACCATGCTCCGCGACAGCCATTGTTTTCGGTGCCGCGCACGATTCAGCCCTCGCGCTACACTGCTCGCTGCCTGAAAGATCGCGCAGGAGCGCCGGAGATCGGAGAAACCGATCCTTGGGGGTGGAAAACTCGCGAACCCGCACGGGTTTTCCGCGCTCACAGGAAAACAAATTCTCCAACATTCCTCTTTCAGAGGAGACTACTCCGGGCATGACTGCGAAGTACATTCTCGCAAGAGGGGTAATCTCTCCGCTTCTCGTAGATTCCCGCATGTATGTATGTATATCCGTCTAGATATGGGGGCTCGAGAGTATCGACGCAAGAACACGTATCAGTCGAGCGGGTTCCAAAATGTTTGTGCCTATGGATTCATGTCAATTGTACGCGTATGAATATAGATCCCTTCTCGCATTTGGCAACGGTGAGGGCAAATCGGAAACGTACATATCGAAGTAAAAGAAAAATCCACCGACGCAGAACATCGCGGGCGATAGCGGCTATCTTCCGAGGCCTCGCTCGCTGAGCAAAGTAAAAAATCGCAGGAAAAGAACGCGGAGAAGCTGGCCGCGTATTATCGATCTCTCACTGGGAAAATTCCTCCGCCTGCCCCACCAGTCCATGAGCCCTTCCGTTGCTTGCGGAGACCGTAAAATTTTCGATGATGGAATATTCCCCAGGAGCCTGGATCGGGCAATTATTCGCGCCTCGCGCAAGTGATTTAGACGATGATCGAAAGATTGTCAAAATCATCTTCTCTCGAGTTCCGAGCCGACCGGTGGAGCTCGATGATGTCCATTCGTTCGTCACAAACGCGACTGATGCGCTGTGAAACTATCAACTCCCAGTAATCAAATGCTCGGACAAGAGCATGATCATGAGCTAGTCAATTAAGTCGTCCCGATAAGCATGATCAACCGGGTCAAGGACACTCACTCAGAACCAGAGC